GTCCCTGATGGGTTTTGTCCCCTGTCCCCTGCTCTGGGACAGCCCATGGGGTCCCTGATGGGTTTTGTCCCCACAGGTCCAGTCCTACCTGGAGAACCCCACCACCTACCACCTGCAGAAGTCTCGTGACAAGAAGGTGCAGGCGTACCTGTCCGAAACCTACGGGAACAAATTCGCTGCCCACGTCAGCCCTGCCAGCCACTCTCCCAAGCCACCCCCGGCCGCGTCCCCCGGCGTCCGGCCCGGCCACGTCCTGTCCTCCTCAGCGGGCAACAGCGCTCCCAACAGCCCCATGGCCATGCTCAACATCGGCTCCAACCCCGAGAGAGAGGTCAGGAGGTGTCACCAGGCTGCTGGGGACACGCAGGGGTGCTGGCAGGGCCAGAGGAGCCCACGGGTGCTTGTCCTTTTCCTTTTCAGTTTGATGAGGTCATCGATGACATCATGCGCCTGGATGATGTTTTGGGCTACATGAACCCCGAAGTGCACATGCCCAACACGGTGAGGGGGGGGGTGACAGGAAGGGGTCACAGCCTTGTCCTTGCAGGTGCAGGGGTGGCACAGAGGGGACCGGGACCGTCTGCCTTGGTGGCAGCCCAAGCCTTGTCCCTGGAGACAGCGCCACCCACGAGAATCAATTCTCCAGCTTTTTTCCCCCCTTGAGGACAGTTGGGAATCTTTTTAAAGAGCTGGAAAGGCATGAGAGAGGCATGGGGAGGGAGCAGGAGTGGGGAGATGGGAGAGCCAGGAGGGAATTCCCTGCCAGCAGCTTCCCCACAGCAGCAGGGTGTCCCAGGTCACATCCATGTGGCAGATCCATGAATCCCAGTGGGATTCATCCTGCCAGATATGATTCATCTGCCCTATTTTAGATGTTGGCCATGGGAGGGGATCAGCTGTGCCCTTTGAAGTCCTGTTTCCTTTTCTGCTCTGCTGAAAGCTGCTTTAAGGACAAATAGAATTCCTGGGAAGAGAATTCCACCTGCCCAGGCTGTGCACTGCCATCCCAGCTGGGTGTGATCCCGGTGCCCTGCATGGAGCTCACCCAGTGTCCCCTCTGCTTTGCAGCTGCCCATGTCCAGCAGCCACATGAATGTCTACAGTGGGGACCCGCAGGTGACAGCGTCACTCGTTGGTGTCACCAGCAGCTCCTGCCCCGCCGAGCTCACCCAGAAGAGAGAACTCACAGGTACGTCCTGGCCCCAGAGCGAGTGACAAAAACGGGGCTGCCCTGTCCCCATGGGGTGCCCGGGGTGCTGGTGGGGTGAGGTGCAGCCTTGTCCCCTCTGGGTGACACCGTGGGTCTCTTGCAGATGCTGAGAGCCGAGCCCTGGCCAAAGAGCGCCAGAAGAAAGACAATCACAACCTGAGTGAGTCCAGCTCTGCCTCTCCCGACCCCACAGCCTTTCCCCATTTCCTCATTCCCACTTTGTCTGAGCTGGATCCCCCTTCCCATCCCAGCTGACCCTCAGGAAAGGGCCCCTCCTTCCTGGCTGTGCACAGGGGGATCCAGGAGACACCCCACTGTCCTCCTGGGGGGAGATGAGACCTGCTGGGCCAGGGATGGAGCAGGGCTGGCTCCTGAGCTTCCTCATCCTGAGCCCCCCAATTCCAGAGGGTCTGGCTGGGACATGAGGGACCTGAAGGACCTGTGGGACACGAGGGAGGGACACAGAGCCTTCCCTGCTCCTGCTGCCTCCTCACTTCCATCCCTCTGCTCTCACCTGCAGTCGAGAGGCGGCGAAGGTTCAACATCAACGACCGCATCAAGGAGCTGGGAATGCTGATCCCCAAAGCCAACGACCTGTACGTACCCACAGCTCCTGCAGGGCTGGGAGCACGGGGAGCACTGGGGAGAACTGGGATCACTGGGAGAACTGGGAGCACTGGGATCACTGGGAGAACTGGGATCACGGGGAACACTGGGAGAACTGGGAGCACTGGAGTCATTGGGATCACTGGGAGCACTGGGGTCACTGGGATCACTGGGGTCACTGAGATCATTGGGATCACTGGGGTCACTGAGAGCACTGCAGTCACTGGGAGCACTGGGGTCACTGAGATAATTGGGATCACTGGGATCATTGGGGTCACTGGGATCACTGGGAGCAATAGGGCTTTTTGGTGGAGGAGGGGGCCCACCCTGGCACCCAGATCCATCTCTTTTTCCATCCTGGCTGGCAGGGATGTGCGCTGGAACAAAGGGACGATCCTGAAGGCGTCTGTGGATTACATCAAGAGGATGCAGAAGGACCTGCAGAGGTCCCGGGACCTGGAGAATCACTCTCGGCGCCTGGAGATGACGAACAAGCAGCTGCTGCTCCGCATCCAGGTGAGCTTCCCTGGGCTCCCTCCTGCCTCTGCTCCACCCCAGCCCCACCAGCCCCTCACTCCTGCCCCACCAAGGGCATGCCCAGGGCATCTCCTGCCTTTTTTTTGGGAGCAAAGCCTTGAGACAAACCTGATATCTGAGGCTCACTGCAGCCTCGCGTAGATCTTCCAGGGGCTCTTTCCTTGGGGGCTTCTCACTCCCTGCCACCTCCATGAATGTCCCTGTGCCGTGTCCCTGAGTGTGACAGCCCCACCAAAGCCCCTCTGTGTCCCCTCGGCAGGAGCTGGAGATGCAGGCACGTGTCCATGGGCTGCCCACCTCCTCTCCCTCGGGCGTCAACGTGGCCGAGCTGGCTCAGCAGGTGGTCAAGCAAGAAGCCAGCGGGGACGAGGGGACCCTGGAGCCGCTGCTGCCACCCCCAGACCCCGAATCTCAGGCGCAGCCGGCGCTGCCCGTGCCACCCCAGTCCCCCTATCACCAGCTGGACTTTACCCACAGCCTGAGCTTCGAAGACGGCTCCCAGGGCTTCCCCGACAGCCTGGAGCCCGGGCACAGCTCTTCCTTCCCCTCCCTATCCAAGAAGGAGCTGGACTTGATGCTGATGCAGGACACGATGCTGCCCCTGGCCTCTGACCCCTTGTTCTCAGCCATGTCCCCCGAGGCCTCCAAGGCCAGCAGTCGCCGGAGCAGCTTCAGCATGGAGGACACGGACATGCTGTGATGGGGAGCTGCTGGGGCAGCGCCTGCAGCGCCAGCTTGGGGGTGGGCAAGTGCCAGGACACTCCTGGCAGGAGGAGCCCAATCTCACCATGCACTTGAACCTTCCCAGGAGTACCTTTCTCTATGCAATGGGGCTGGGGCCGGGTGCCACCGTGTCTTTCGCAGCTTCTTTCTGCCAGGAGCGGGGATGGACCTTCCTGGCCTTGCCGTGGCGCTGGCCTGACTGCAGATTCCACAGCCTGGGGCTGAGATCTCGGCTGCTTTGCCTTTCTGGCCTCACCCCCTTCCCCAGGGTGGTGCCTCAGAGCCCCCAGGAGCAGAGGGACGATGCTGCGAGCTCTGTGTCCGATTTGGTGTCTCCTCACCTTGCTCTGGGATCTTTTATCCCCACCCGGTCTTCCCCAGCCCCTGGATGCTTCCCAGTCCATCCAGTTCCTCCTTCCTGGGAGCACCCGCTGCCTCTGGGGTCACAGGAGGGTGACAAGGTGTTAATTAGTGTGTGTTCATTAATATACCCGCCAGGGCTGTTGTCTCAGGTGGGTGTTGAAGGTATCCAGAACACCTGGGATGGGGGGTTTGATGCTCCACCAACCCCCTGCTGTCACCCCCACCTCGTGGGGCAGCACCCACCACCCCAAAACCTCTGGGCGAGGCTTCCAAGTGACCCCGAGCCTCCTGGAGGTGTCCCTGCCCTGTGACACCGAGCCCCAGCTCTTTGCTGCCAGGATCAAAGGGTTTTTCACTTCTTTTTTTTGGGGGATACTTCTTGCAAGTCCTGCCCCACGTGGGCGCGAAGGTCCGGGCTGTGACCAGGGAAGGGTTTGTGCCACCTGCCAAACCTGGGAGCTGCTGCTCCCACCTTGGAGTTTGGGGGTTGTTTGTCTTCCCAGTGTCACCAGTTTGTTCTGCAGCTCTGTGCTGGGGAGCTCCTGACTGCCCAGTGCAGCTGGGAGGGAGCTGGGAAGGGCAGGGGAGCACAGGGAAAATCAAAATCCTCCCTGGGGTTATTAAAGGAGAGGAGAGCCCTTGGCCATTGTCCCCCCTGCTGTCCCTGTGGGGCTGGGGGTCCCTCCGTGCCCCCCATCCTGCACCTGGGTGTCCTGGGAGGGGACAGAGATGCCAGGATTTGGGATTGGAGGTGGGGGACAGCCCTGGAGAGGAGCCTGTGGGACGTGAGGGTGGGGGGAAGTGTGGAAGGTGGGGAGGAAGAGGGAGGAGGAGGAGTTGGAGCAGGGCAGGGAGCAGGGAGGGACCTGAGGGGACTCTGGGTGACCTGAGAGGGGCTCCAGGTGACAACAGAGGGCTTCAGGTGACCTGAGGGGACTCTGGGTGACCTGAGAGGAGCTCCAGGTGACCAGAGAGAGATTCCAGGTGACCTGAGGGGACTCTGGGTGACAAGAGAGGGCTCCAGGTGACCACAGAAGGGATCCAGGTGACCAGAGAGTGGCTCCAGGTGACCTGAGGGGGGCTCCAGGTGACCAGAGAGGGGCTCCAGGTGACCTGAGGGGGGCTCCAGGTGACCACAGAAGGGATCCAGGTGACCAGAGAGGGGCTCCAGGTGACCAGAGAGGGGCTCCAGGTGACCTGAGGGGGGCTCCAGGTGCTCACCTGGAGAAGAGAAGGATCCAGGAGACCTCTGAGCCCCTTCCAGGGCCTGAAGGGGCTCTGAGCTGGAGGTCTGGGGGTGTTCACAGGAGGCCTTGGCACCCTTTGTGTGCTGCCATCAGTGCCTGGAAAAGAGAATTGTCCCCACCAGGGTCACCCCTGGCCGTGCTGGGGACCTGGGGGTGTGGGAGAGTCACGGATCTGTGCCCTCCAGAGGGGCTCCAGGGCAGGAAATCCCACGGGAAATTGGGATTATTGTGGCTTTAGGGTGCCCTTGGGCAAGGCCTGGCCACTGCTCAGCACGAGATGTCTCCCCTGGCTGTGAGTAAACAGTTGTGGATTATAATTACTATTTTTTTTTTTAAATCTTTTTGGGAGTTTTGTTTGTTTTTCCTTTTTTTTTTTTTTTTTTTTTAATGCACTGTGCTCTGATTAAAAAATTTTACTACTGTTTTATAAATAAATGTATAAAAGAATGAACTGGAATGGAAGAAGAATCATTAAAAATATATTTATTTACAACATCCTGGAGCGTGGCAGCTTCTTCTTTGTCCTGGAGGCTGGATCAGCATCACCTCAGGGTTCTGCAAAATCCCTCTGGGTGCTGCTCCAGGCAGGTTTTGGGGACTCTCCTGCCCAGTGCAAGGGGAAAAAAATTCTAATTTAAAGCGTCCTGCTTAGCCTGTGCTTGGCAAAACTTATCCCAAGCCACGTCTGCAGCTCCTCAGCCACGTGCCAGGTTCCCCTGGTGTTAAACACACACAGGAGGGGGAAAAAAAGCAAGAAAATCCACCTTAAATTAGACTTCCCAGGCTGGAAAATCACAGGGGTTTATCTTGGAAACTTTATTAAAAGGAGAAGGAGGGGAAAGAAGAGTGAGAAGAGGCTGAAGGTGGAGGTGAGGGGGAGAAGGAGCGAGTGGTTCCAGACACTTTAGAAGAAAAAAAAAAAAATTAAAAAAAAAAAAAAAATCCCTGATTTGATTTATCAGGGGAGTGTGAACACTAAATAGAGAACAACGCCTGAAGTGTGAATTATTTCCTATATTAACACAGAGAAAAACTGATAGCCTTTTCATGTCAGGAGAATAGCACACGGGGAGGGAGGGGAGCCAATGACATTGTTCCAGCTCGGGCTTTGCTCACTCTTTATCAGGCTGAGATCAAAATTTATTCCCAGGATGAGGCCTGAGGCCTGGCTGAGGCCCTAGAGATTTTTAAGGGCCTAATTAAGAAAACAGGATGAAAATGGCGAAATAAGAGGGCAATTTACTTCTTGCAGAATAGGGAGATCAAATCAACTTATGAGCAATTAATGTGCACAAGGAGAGAATAAAGGGATGCCGGGATATGGAAGAGGGGCCTCATTTTAATGACATGCTCTGGTGTTGGCATAGAGGATTACTCTGAAGGTCAGATGGAGATTGAAACGACCTTGCAGATTCTTAACCCTCCTTCCAATTAACAGAACCAACTCAGAAATGCAAAAGAGCCCGGCTCGGAGCGCTGTCATCTTTATGTGCTGCACGGAGGAGGGGGGAAAATAAAATTATAAAGGGGAGAGAGAGAGAGAGAGAGAGAGAGAGAGAGAGGAGGAAAGGGCTTTCCTGGGCTTCCACAGCACATGGAGACGGGAGAGGAGGCTCTTAGTGACAGTGGGAGAGCCGGCCTCGGAAAAATCGGGAAAATTGGAAAAATCGGCTGAGAGGGGGAGAGGAAAGGGAGGGAGAGCTGGATGGGCCGGGGGATGAGGGGGTGACGGGGTGTGCCTGCCAACTGGGACGGACTGGGAGGGACTGGGAGGGACTGGGACGGACTGGGATGGGCTGGGGTAGGCTGGGACGGACTGGGATAGACTTGGATAGACTGGGATGGACTGGGGTGAACTGGGATGGACTGGGATAGACTGGGATGGACTGGGACGGACTGGGATGGACTGGTATAGACTGGGATGGACTGGGGTGGGCTGGGCTGGACTGGGATGGACTGGGATAGACTGGGATGGACTGGGATGGACTGGGATGGACTGGGGTGAACTGGGATGGACTGGGATAGACTGGGATGGACTGGGATGGACTGAGATGAACTGGGACGGACTGGGATGGACTGGGGTGGGCTGGGACGGACTGGGATGGACTGGGACAGACTGGGGTGGACTGGGATGGACTGGGATGGGCTGGGGTGGATGCACGGAGTGCCGGGACGGGGACAGCACAGGAGCCACCGCTGTCCTGGCCGCTGTCCCACCGCGCTGCCCCTGGCGCCTTTCCCAATTCCGGGATGGTTCCCATGGGAAGGAGGAAGGATGGGGACACCGGGAGGGGGCGGAGGGGACCCCGGGGAGGGGACCCGGGGCCGGGAGGGTCGAGACGGCAGCGGCGAGGCTGCAGCGGGGCTGAGCAGCCACAAGAGAGAGCCCGAAGGTTGCGGAGGAGCCGGGGCTGGGCGGGATGCGCGGAACGGGAAAAGGGGAGATCCCCAAGGCTCTGGGCTGCTCCAGGTCCTGGACGCCGTGATTTGGGCTCTGAACCCCCAAATCCATGGGTGGGGGTCAGGTGAGAGCCCCACCTGCGGAGCTGCCTCAGCCCCGGGCTCCGGCAGCAGCAGGACCTGGAGCAAATCCAGAGGAAACACCGGGACATTCCCGGGGCTGGGAGAGCTGGGGGAGCTCACCTGGACAGGAGAAGGATCCAGGGAGAGCTCAGAGCCCCTTGCAGAGCCTAAAGAAGCTCCAGGAGAGCTGGAGAGGGACTGGGGACAAGGGATGGGGGGACAGGACACAGGGAATGGCTTCCCAGAGGGCAGGGATGGATGGATGGATGGATGGATGGATGGATGGATGGATGGATGGATGGGATATTGGGAAAGAATTGTTTCCCTGTCAGGGTGGGCAGGCCTGGAATGGAATTCCCAGAGCAGCTGTGGCTGCCCCTGGATCCCTGGAAGTTCCCAAGGCCAGGCTGGAGCAGCCTGGGACAGTGGGAGGTGTCCCTGCCATGGCAGGAGGTGGCTCTGGATGAGCTTTGGGGTCACTTCCAACCCAAACCCTTTTAGGATTCTTTGTGGCGGCTGCACCACACAAAGCCCAGCTCTCCCTGGAGACTGGGGCTGGAATTTGCTGGGAATTTTGTTCTGGGGCTGACACCATCCCAGACAGGAGCAGGGGATTTGATGCTCCAGGCTGCAGCCACATCCCCTGTGCTGCTCCAGGTTTAAGGTCTGGGTTCAGTTCTGTTATTCCATGCTGTCTGAAAACAGAGATCCATGGAAAGAGAGCTGGGAATTCCCAGCACCAGCTTTTGGATGTGTCTCCAACCCCCTCTCAGGTGCTGGTGGCAAGTTGTTTCTCCAGCCCCTCACAAAATCCTCCTTTCCAGTTGTTTCTCAAATCCCAGAGCATTTTCTGC